ACTAGAGGCCCGGTGCATGAAATTAATGCACGGGGGAGTGGGAGGCTTCACTCAGCCTGGCCTGCACTCTCTCCAATCTGGGATCCCTCTCACAATCTGGAACCACTGACTCCTAACCACTCACCTGTCTGCCTGCCTGATGCCCCCAACTGCTCCCCTGTTGGCCTAATCCCCCTAACTGCTCTCCCCTGCTGACCTGATCCCCCTAACTGCTCTCCCCTCCTGGCCTGATCCCCCTAACTGTCTATCTGCTCTCCCTTCCTCTCCATGCCCTTTAGACCCCAGAGCAGGCTTGCCGAGAGCTCTCCACTGCGGCCCCACCCCTGTCCTGATTGGTCAATACCTGGCGGCGTCCTGGCCAATTTACATATTCCTCTATTATCAGTATGGGTAACTTCAACAACAATAAGTTGTAATGTTTGTTGTGTGCATTATGTGCTTGGCACATGCTTAGTTCTTTAGATATATTCAGTCTTCAAAACCATCTTGAGACATAAATGGAATTAATTTTTTTTAAAGAAGTTTAGAAAGGTTAAACAGCTTACTCGTGGCTACATAGCTAATCAGACCAAGGTCAATTGGATTTCAAACTCCAGGCTCTTTGCACCATGCCATGCTCTCCCTAGTAAGCCAAAGTTGGCTTTGAAAATGCATTGTGTTAGAAATTCATCCTGGTGAAGAATGCTAGAAAATAATCCACCCTATTTTAGTTTAATATGTAGTCTACCCACAGAAATAAGCCTTATTAAGACAGAGTCACAAAAGGGAAGCGATCTTGTTTTGTTCTTTTTGTACACCAAGATTCTTAATTGCAGTGGCCAGGTAGGGTACTCTGTGCTATATGTATACACACACATACACATATCCATCCATGCATACATATATATATATATATATATATACACACACACACACATGGGCTGCATAGATAATTATTGTGTATATCACAAATTCGAAGGGAGGTTCTTTAACTTGATACTTAATGAAAATGACAAAATGAGGTCAAAGGGACTCTACAGCAGGAGTGGGGAACACCTGGTCCGTGGTCTAGCCCTACCAAAGCATTGTGAGCAAGTTAATTAAATGTTTGACCAAATATAGCAGGCTAATTTTTAAGTTGATAATTTTGTATGGCCTGCAAGGGATGTTATAACTATCCGAATTGGCAGGAAAAAGGTTCCTCACCCTGCTCTACAATAACCTCTCAGTGAATACTTGAGACTACATGATCTGATGTCAGTCTCCAGTTCTTCCTCATTTAATAAAGTTCAATGAATAGCATGCCTAAGGGAAGAGTTCTGGCCAGGCTGAATTATTTTCTGGGTATTCTGGCTTTAGTTCCATACTCTAGCCCCCTGGGGTGTTTACTTCCTGTTTCAGTGTTCTTTTATATATATATATATATATTTCTTTATTGATTTCAGAGAGGAAGGGAGAGAGAGAAAAACATCAATGATGAGAGAGAATCATTGATCAGCTGCCTCCAGCACATCCCCTCCTGGGGATCGAGCCCGCAACTCAAGCATGTTTCCTTGGCCGGAATCAAACCTGGGACCCTGCAGTCTGCAGGCCAACGCTCTATCCACTGAGCAAAACCAGCTAGAGCAGTTTCAGGGTTCTTAACGCTTGCACTTGCCCAAGGCTCAGGCTTTCAGCACTGAATCATTATTTAATTCGTACTGGAGGCCTTGCTTTTCTACAGCAATCTGCAAGAAACTGATGAGGGCTTTGGAATGGTGCAGCTCTGCTCCTTTATTTAAGAACACTGTGTCTATGGCTTGAATCTATAAATTGGAAATAGATTTAAATTTTACTTTAATGATTGTAAGCAAGACATTTCTCTAATGCAAATTTTTGTTGGATTAACTAAGAGACAGATTCCCCTTCATCTGTATCTTTAGCTGTGTCATATATTTAGAAATGGCTGTATCTAACTCCTCTTTCCCAATACTTTACCTTCACTTTATAAATTATTTTTAAATGTTTTTATAGATTTTTATAGAGAGAGGAAGGAAGAGAGAGAGAGAGAGAGAGAGAGAGAGAGAGAGAGAGAGAGAAACATCAGTGAAAGAGAGAAATATGCAACCTGGGTATGTGCCCTGACTGGGAATTGAACCCGGGATCTTTCTGTGCACTGGAGGACCCTCAACCAACTGAGCCACACTGGCCAGCCTATACTTTACCTTTATTGACTTGGCATCATTTTTCAGCCAATTTTCAATGCTATTTAAATGTTGTCTTTTCTTTGTTTACCCATAGATTATGCATTTGTTGTTTTAATCTTATCTACCAAAGGTTGCTTCTTTAAAATCATTTCATTTTTAGATGGTATGATTTATAAGACAGTAGTGTTACAGAGCTCAGAGTCTTAAATACACTAAGTTTTATTGTTGGAATGTAAAGATTTTAATGGCGTCCATCAGGTGCTATTGATAAGAAATCTAATGTCTTTATTTTAATATTTAACAAGCATTTAAAAAGCATAGTTCTGAATATTGGAGAGGAGCTAAATGTTAAAATTAATGAAAAATACTTCTTTATGGGTAGCTTATAAGCTGTAAGAAGGAGATATAAATACTTTTTTTACACATTCATTCAAAAATGTTTATTGAGATATGTTCTAGATATTATGTGGTAGATGTCTATACAATTCTCTTTACAGGGGTTATAATCTGGGGTGAGCGTGGGGAGTACAAGGAGGATTGTAAGAAGGAGACAATTTAAAAAGAACTGAAGGCAGATGGGAAAGTGCTGAATATGAGCTAACTAGGGAGAGAAATAATATTAGGATTTGACAGAACATTGGAGTTTTTTCATAATGCTGCTTTAAGTCAAATTCCAGAAAAGATGTTTTCACTTGAAAGTTATTCCACAGTATAAACAAATCCTATGAGGTTTTAAAACCAGAGGGTGCACTTCTTCTAAAATAGGCCAACATATATCTAACAAAAGAATTAATGTGTATATGGGAATATTGGTCCAAATAACAACTTGAACTAAATATTAATTTTAAGATCATTTTAATAGACATTTTTGTACCTATTAAAGGTGAGAAGTTGGTTAGTTTTGCTGTTTACTGTGGCATTTATGTGTTTTGTTCAGAAAATTAGTTAAAATTGATAGAAACTATTTCAACAATCTTCCTAGTAATTTAATACATTTGATATTCTCTTAAAAAAACAAAAAAAAGAGTAAACTGTCTGATAGTGTTAAAGTTATTTTTAAGCAGGTCTTACTGATTTTGTAAGTGGTTCACCTAAATTTGTATAACACTTGATTTGTGAATAAGAGAAGAGGTTCAGAAAAGAATATTATAAGGAAAATTAGGCAGGCTCTTATTTTCTAGGAACTCTCATTAAAGAAAAAGCCGTTAAGTCTTTACTTCTAGAGTTGTTCCATTTTAGGAAGCGTAGGCCCTGGTGAAGAGGATAAAAAATTTTAGGAAATGGCAATTAAAATGCTAATTTCTCTTGCAAAAACCTGGCTAATATCTGAAGGCCTAATAGAAAGTGGGAATGATTATTTTTAGAGGACATCCATTCTAATATACTTTAACTTTTTAAATTAAATTTGTTAGGGTGACACTGGTTAATTATGTTTCATGTCTGCAATATTATAATACATCATCTGTATATTGCTTTGTGTGTTTACCACTCAAAGTCAAATCGTCTGTCACCATATATTTGATCCCCTTTACCTCATCTCCCCCTTTCCTCTGGTAACCAGCACACCGTTGTCTGTGCCTATAAGTTTCTGTTTGATTGTCTGGTTTGTTCATTTCTTGCTTTCAGTTTTATATTCTACATACGAGTGAAATCATATGGTTCTTGATTTTTTCTGTCTGACTTCTTTATTTGAATGTAATACATTAATACACTAACAAGAGAAAAATAATCAAAACATAGCCTTCAATGCTGTATTAATAATGAATGCAGTTTAAGGCTATTTTTTTACATGATAATCCTGGCCATATATAGCTTCGGAGCTCTTGAGCTTTTGAAATGTGGATAGTGCTTCTTAAAAAAACTAAATTAATAATTGTATTTCATTTTAATTGTTTTAAAAATTGATACATGAAAATTTTAAGTATGTTTGGAACAACCTATGTATATGAATCTACTTTATAACTGTAAATTTTATGAAATATAAATACAGATCAAATATTTTCAGATGAAAATTTGCATCTAAATTGAGATGTCCCATAAATGTTAAACATATTTTAAAGACTTAGGATGATAAAATGTAAAATATCTCCACTAAAATTTTTATAATGATATATATTGATAAATAATGTTTTGGATCTATTGGCTAAAGAAAAAATATATTATTAAAGTAAATTTCATCTTTTGTTGTTACTTTTCAAAATGTAACTATCAGTAAATTTAAAATTTACTGTGTGGCTTGAATTATACTAGTATTTCTTTTGAACCATGCTGGTTAAAGGTGCTTCTCCACATCATAGAATTCATTTGATGCCTAAAAATGTAATCTGGTGCAGCAATTAAATCTTATTAGCAAAATCATACCCATTTCCCCCCCTCTTTCTGGGTCTACTGACAGTGATAGTATTGTTAATAATCTGAAAATATTTTTAAAGCAATTACTGAGTCTGATGACTAATTCAATATCATTGAGTTATTTTCTTTAATTTATAATAATTACAATCTTTTATTTGATATTAAAGAGAATAAAATTTACAAAATTTTAGTCAGGCAAATTGGTGAGAAATTGCATGTCTTGGTTTAAATATTATCATCCTGTATTAAGTAATATGCAATGTGAAGCACTTAAAGTACTTAAACTGTACCTGGGAGAGTTAATGATGTCTGTTTTCTCATAAGATGTGTCCTTTTTATATTTTCTTTCATCCCCACCTCAAACAAAATGGCCAGACATGGCCAAATGTGTTGTGCTTTTTGTTCTGTGAGGTATCTGTAATAGGTGATAAATGTGACTTTCATCATGATCTTGTCTCATTGTTCATCTGTCAATTCTTCTAGGAGGTGATTTCCTCTCCTATCTGAGAAAAAAGAAAGATGAATTAAAAACCAAACAATTAGTGAAATTTTCATTAGATGCTGCTTCCGGTATGTCATATCTCGAGAGTAAAAAATGTATACACAGGTAAGGAGAACATTTTAAAAACATTTCCAGTTTTATTAATAGAATGCTAGAAAATTATATATTTGTTACAATACAGCAATAAATTTCTTTTACGAAACGTAAGTATTTTCATTTTAGTTTTCATATTGTGTGTGAAAGCATTATTTGATAGTTATTTATACAGGAGTGGGCAAAAGTAGGGCTACAATTTCTATGTAAAATAATACAATAATAGTACAAGAATAAACTCTGTTTCATGTACTCACAACTGTAAACCTTTTGCCCATCCCTGTATAGTTCACAGAAACTTTTTTTTTTCTATCTTACTTGAGGTAAATACACCTACTTAGGCAGCGATTTACCTATCAAGTAAAATTTGTTTTGTTATAATCATGAATAACATAGTGATAAGTTATACCACAAGTTAGTCATATATGCAGCTACAGTCTCATAGCCAATAAGACTGTGTCATGTGTCACCTATTTGCAGTTTTTAAAAGAATTTACTTTAAAAGTCATGGAAAAGCACAACAGTAGAACAATAATTCATGACAGTGAATTTAACCAAGGGTAAAAGATTTTAGTGTACTAGTTATTTCAAATAAAATTTTAGAAAACATTCTTTATATTATAACCAATGACTAGTTCTCAATGCTTTCTTGATTATGATTAATGTTCTTTAATGCTAAATGTTAGTACAACTTAAGATCTCTTGTAGAATTCATGTCAGATCATAAATACGGCTAAATCTATAATTGTAAAATGTAGTGTACAAGTGATGAAGTTTTTATTTGTTGGAAATAGCACATAATACTATTTAATGTGGAGCAGGGTTCATTGTCAGATTGAATTATCTAAGCCTGTTTAGTAATTCAGGTATATTTTTCTCTAGTGTGTTTTATTATGCAGCCTTTGACTTAACATTCTGGTGGGGTTATATAGTATATATAATTAGAGCAGAATAAAATTAACTTCCCCGATATACACATCAATTGATATTTTTTATACTTAATCCCCCCCAATTCACATTTTAAAAATATATGTTTTTATTTTAAGAAGAAGGAAGAGGGAGAAAGAGATAGAAACATCAATGATGAAAGAGAATCATTGGTTGGCTGCCTCCTGCATGCCCCACACTGGGGATTGAGCCTGCAATCTAGACATGTGCCTTGATCAGGAATCGAACCGTGACCTCCTGCTTCATAGGTCGACGCTCAACCATTGAGCCATGCTGGCTGGGCCCCCCATACACATTTTGCTTAGTGTTCAGTTTTATTCTAAAGCTAAAAATTAAGGCTTATGTTTCAAATATGGTTTAATGATTGTATATATTTTAAAACATTTCAATAGGGAAACTATTTTTCTAGAATTTAAGACACCTATAACTGTCATTGTATTTATGTTTTATTTTCCATAAATAGAGATCAAATTACATTATAATAGATATTTTTAAAGACTTAAAGTATTTGATGTTGGACAAAATTGTATTCTTTACTTTAGTAGACAAAACACTTTTTGTTCAAAGTAACAATAAAGGGTTTTGCCTTTTTGAGGAAATCAATAATTTTGATTGCTCAGATGTTAATGCTACTTTGGGTATCAGATTCTCTACTCTAGTTATTCATTTTTTCTCAGATTCCTTTTCACACATTAAACTATGGCTTTAAATCCTAATGCACATTATTGTAACTGTTTTACAAATTGTCAGTTACCAATAACATTCTTTAATTTCTATTGCATTGGGGTTGTTTCAATTTCTGTTGCTGCTTTTGTAGTGATTGCTTTTCTTGCAAGTGGAGGGCTGTATATATTTTTTTATCTGTATCATCAGAATCGAAACCATTCTAAGTCATAGATAGCAGTTAATTTTAAAAAAATTATTTCACTCACCAAACCACAACATATCTGTTGTAATGTTATATTTCCATTTTGCTTTTTAAGAAGTTTCATGCATTCACAAATTTTTGAAAGTCAGCCTGTGCTTGACCACATTTCCTAGAAAGTTGTGCAGAGCCGTGTACTATCTGCCTGCAGAGAAGGTTCCAAATGGAATATCTTGAATAATGGCATTGAGAGCAGATATGACAAATAGGTTTCATTGACAACTTGCAGTGATTGGTAGTGGCTCTCTTGTTGTGTATTGAGAAGGATTCCAGGATTAGCAACAAAGATTCCAGTGACAAATTAGTCAAATCTGTCAGGGTGCTGACAAACGTTAACACACAACCCTATGTCATCTGTGGCATAAAACATTTTTTGTCTTTACTTTTATAAATATTTTTGACATGATTTTTCTTACTAGGTATAGCAACATAGTTTTCTATAATTACTTTCATTGATTTCTTCTAAACTATCTGCTATTATTTCCTTTGTTAATCATGATTCCTGAATGAATTTTATGTTACCTCTAGCCAGTGGTCTTTTGTTTCCCTTCAAACTTATGTAAATGCTCTATTGGGTGAATTCACCTTTTTCATATTCATTTTAGTACCTCCCCAGTGCATGACACTGTAAGTCATTCTTTGGGTTGAATTTTTTATGGGAGTGAATTGTGCTATGAAACTCTGTTTCTATGTGTCATCCTGTGGCAATTTTTCTGTGTTAGCAGTAGTAATTGCAATGGAATTTTAATTGATTTATAGTTAAAACTTTCACTCAAGACATGTTTTACGTTTTTTCTCCCAAGAAATATCAAACATATAGTATTCATTACAGTGAAAGATGTTTTTTTGTCATTGGAAAAATTTCCAATGAGTATTTCAAAATCGATTAATCTAAAACATCTGAAGTTTCATTTTTCAAGTAATGAAAGATACAAAGACTCATTCTTGACATCCCAAAATATTACCAAAATATATGCATGTCTATGAATTGCAAAGTCTTTGTCTCACAAATCAAAGCAAAAAATTTAAACTTGCCTTCCATTTTATATGAAGTTATAAATTTTATCCTGTTCCCGGATTAGAGGTTACTGGAATTCAGTACTTGAAAATAATTGTTTCTCCCCAAAATAGTATCTTAGCTATTGGGGAACATACTTTCTTTCTTTGGCTGTGTTTTATTGTTTTGATTGCAAGAAGAGCAGAGCTGTGTTTCATTATAGGTAAACAAGTATGACAGCTATAAAATGAAAACAAGTAATTGCATAAAGAAATGGCCTGCTTTTGGAAAGTGCTCTTGTTGTAATTCCCATTTAACTTCCAGGAGAGTTCTCTTGATAGTCTGGGTTTCTAATTGAACTATTTCTATTTATAGCTGAGCAGCACTGGATATTTTGCATTTTACTTTAGTTGTATTCAGCTGAATTTTCTTTATTACTTTTCTGTAGGCCAATGTGAAATTATTTCCTACTTGTAGTTTATATGAACTTTTGAAGTACACTGATAACTTGGGGGGTGGGGAGGGTGGGGGTGAATGTGTTTACTTGCAATAACCTGCTATTAGATTGTTAGACGCCACTCTAGAAAAAGTTTTAAACTTAATTAACTGACATTAACTGGATTGAAGGTTGACATAATCGATTTACTGGTAATGACAGTTGTGGTTTTATTGATGATGAATCCTGAAAGATTTATTCTTATTTAGGATTATTGCTAAAAGTTGGTTTTGTGGCATGTCCTTTGTTTGATGTCCCTGGGAAGTAAAGGGAGAATAAACTCTTGATTGCTCTGTATTTGAGTTAAAGATCATAATCCATGGGGAGTTTTGGAAGCAAATCTTAATTTCATGATATTCTGTGTCATTGTCAATACCTGAAAAAGGTGTTTTTAGAGGAGTGCCATAGACTATGACTTGCTTTTTTAATTTAAATCTTATACTGATTCCTCTTTGATTTTGGTTGCTCTTACCACAATGATTTTGTTGTTGTTTTGGAGTAAGGTTTAGCAATTCTCCAAATTAAATTATATATAAGACCAAATTTAATTTATGTTTAGTAAGGGTGTTTTTCTTATACATTGAGAACGATATTTCTATCTTACATTTAACACATACAAGCACTTGCCTACTCTGGGCCTGGGTGATAGCAACATGAAAATCACAGTACCTGCCTTCAGATGGACGTAACAAAATAATAATAATTTTAAAAGATAATCAATTTAATGGTAATACACACAAAATCTCAAGGGAGTGATATCACAAGGGTCTAATGTGACCTGTCATGAAAGGGGCTATGGTGAAAGTCATCAGGACAGGTTTTGCAGAGAATACTGTTTGCGTGAGACTTGATAGATGGGAGTGTCCTTGAATAAAAGGGGAAAATATTTCAGCGGAAGGAAACTTGTTTGCTAAGTTACATTGTTTTTCACAAGAGAATGGGACTTAATCATGGAACTGCAAAAAGCTCAATATAGGAATGGGAAGTGCAGAAGACATGTGGCTGAGCTAGGTACACAGGGTCCTCACTAAGGGTCACATATACCATATAATTTGGCTGACTATAGGAATATCTAGCCATACATCTGGCTAATTTTAAGAAAGCTAAAATGCTACAGTGTTTAACTGGAAAAGAAAAGTAATTTGAGCAAAATTTGCAAAACCCTGAGAAATCTATGTATATAAAACCCCAAGTGACCAGTCAACCTGTGGGCAACTGGCAAGCACAGCTGTGGTGGCGTGAGCCTCTCCTGCCTCTGGCAGCACTACCCAGTGGCCTCTGCAGCAGGCCCAGTGGGGTGGGATGAGCAGGAGAATGAGCAGGAGTCGCGCTGCGCCTTCCCCGGCATGGGCTCAGGCTTCTCCCTGGCTGCCTGCTGCTTCACGCACTTCTACATCCCTCGATGTGGGACTGCCGGTTTTGGCTCAGTCCCAGCCAGGGATCGGGCCTACACTGGCAGTCCGAAATCCCCCGAGGAGCCCTGGATTGTGAAAGAGTGCAGGCCAGCTACCCCACCAGCTACCTCACAGAGCCACTACCCCACCGGTGCACAAATTCATGCACTGGGCCTCTAGTGTATATATAACTTGTGAAAAGGTGTGGGTATGGGACCAATTTTATTTTTAAGTTTCATTGGAAAAGCTAGT